CATCAGATGGTGACTCTTGCAGAAACAGTTCTGTGAGGTAGCTGATTAAAATTATAAGGATGGCATTTTATCAATCTCCTTTTTTAAAAAAATTGAAACTGTGTGGTCTAACTAGACTTGCCACTAGACCAGCATTTAGAGAGACCAGAGATGAGTGAAGGGAGAGCTCTTAAGGGCCCAATCCCCACACCACTGCCTCATTCTCTGAACATACAGCTTATCATACAGATAATCCTCACAGGGGAATCAAATCCTGTGACCCACCAGCAACTTTTCTGAATTTGTTAAATGTTCTTCCTCTGGTCCCAGAGCACAGTGCACGTGCAGCATTGTGATGGAGGAAACAAAGTGGCATTTTAGGATAGGGCAGCCATTGAGGTTGGTGATGCCCATCCAGCCTGTGCCCAGCGAACTGGTCCCAGGCCATTGGTTGGTCCTTGCCCTCCTAATCTGTACAAGTCTAGGCTTCCTTCCTTCCTTCATTCTCTCTCCAGATGAGGGAAAAGGAGATAGGGAGTAGAGAGGAAGCAGAAACGGGATTTCCACTCACTCAAGGGGGTGAGGGACCTCACTTCATGAAGGAGAAAGGGGAAGGATCAACACTGGGTATGTGGGGGGGGGGGCTTCACCCTGTCCAACCACCACACTCTAACTGTTCTTGCTCAGTGTGCTCCTGCCCCTTGTCGTCCCTCTCCAACTCCTCCACCGCCAGCTACCACGGGCCACAGCAAATTAGTAGCATTCAGTGTCTTCACAACTGAAGGACCGTCACAGTTCTGCCTGGCGTGGAATGGCTGACTTCCATCCTTCCATAGGACAGTTGGAGGCTCCAGGCAGCAAACAAAGACCTCTCTAGCCAAGGTGGAAAGAAAGACACCTATTTTATTATTCAGCCCATGCATATAGTGAGCCACAGAGTGCAAAGGCAGGCTGAAATCCTGCATGTTTTAGAGACCAGCATGCTGGAAATAAAAAGCAAACAGCTCCAGTCTCCTCAGAAGACAACTGGATCTAGCTCAAGATAGGATCCCAAATTCCTTCTTGGGAGGCATGGTAGCATTTGGAGGGGTTATGGGGACATGACCTTAGAGATTTCCGTGTTGTAAAACCAGAGGTTGGACTTATCTACACAGCCCAGGAGATAGCATTTAAATTCCAAAAGACTGGAACAAGGACTCTGTCCCCTTCTGCTCTCACAAGACTGTACTAAGAATAGTAATACCTGGAGCCTCTTAAGCAAGACATCAGTCTCCACGATGCCCTTCTCACAGTGAAAAACCACCCTGATCCTTTTCTGACCTCCACTCCTGGGGGACCTGCTACCTCACAGGGCTGTTTTCCTCCAGTGCCACCACACTGGGTCTTTCTATGCAAACGTGGCAGCAGGTTGGAAGTGTGGTTTTTTTTTTTTTTTTTTTTTTTTTTTTTGGTTTTTCGAGACAGGGTTTCTCTGCGTAGCTTTGCGCCTTTCCTGGAGCTCACTTGGTAGCCCAGGCTGGCCTCGAACTCACAGAGATCCGCCTGGCTCTGCCTCCCGAGTGCTGGGATTAAAGGCATGCGCCACCACCGCCCAGCTGGAAGTGTGGTTTTCTTAAGTGACATCTTTTAGCAGCATCTGTGGTAGTCCAGTAAACCAGTCAAAGAAAGCAGTCTATTCATTAGGGGACTCATAGAAGTGACAGGCAATGGCGGTTCACTGAAGCCACCCATGTGAAGAGGTAGGAAAGATTTCTTTCTCCTTCTGGAGTCTCTGGTTCGTGACCTAAATCACGTCTAGGGGCTGCATAAGGGAGGGGGAAGAGGAGAGGCCTGCCTTCTATCCCCAGTTGACTTGAACTCCCAGCACCTAGCCAGTGCACCTCCAACTTTAGTTTGATGCTTGTGATACCCAGTTCAAGTTCACAGTTGTGATTCTCTTCTCTCATCCAACCAATTGGAGTGCAGCTAAGGAATACTCATTTTTACCAAGTGGCCCAAGTGATCCTAAAGTCAGTGTCATCCAGAGTGACTGACCTACCCTGATAGCTACACATGAGCCTATTTGTCTAGCCAGGGACTCCTGGAAGATGGAGTTTCCTATGTCCATAATGACCCAGGCCCTTATCAATTGTGCACCTTAGAAATGTTCCAGGAGTGTATTTTGGGGTCTGCAAATATGGCCCTAGGAATATCATATGTCTTAAGAGCTGCAGTGTGTCAGAAAACAGAGTTAAACCTGCTCAGCATGTGTGTTTTCTATAAAGCTTCCCAGGCCTTTTTGTTAGCTCACAGATCCTTCAGGCTGTCACTTTCTCTCCCTACCAAAGATCAGACTGTGTACCCTGCCTCTGCAGATCTCTGGATAGAGTTGCTAAGCAGGCCTACTTACAGCCTTGCAGTCCCCCTCCCCTTGGCAACTGGAAGCCCAGACCCCCTGACACCAACGCCCAGGACAACCTTGAATGATAACCTTACTTTTATCCAGTGAGGTTTTTTTTTTCTTTTGTTTTATGACTTGGCATGTAGGCTAGACTCTGGGATATGGACACACTCTCTCCCAAAACCTATAACAGCAAGACTCCCTTTGTCCTTCAGAACTGGATGGTCCTTCTCTTCCTGGAGGGTCCCTGTCATGCTACCCATGACAGCTGTCTCTCCTAATGATGCAACTCCTATTGATTCTTTTCAGCTTCCTATGAACCACTGATGGCATCTTATACTTTAACATGTTACTATGATGCTTGAAGAAAGTATAGAATGCAAGTTTACATGGCTACATTCCTCTGCTGAATTTGTCCTGCCATAGGAAAGTCTGATCTGTGAGTCATCAGAGACACACTAGATAATTTCTCTGTTGGGCATTAATGGCAGCTGAAATACTTGATTTGACTGTGTAAAATAGCGTCAGATAGGTAAGCATATATGGTTTGGTTCATATACACGCCAATCAAAACACATCATACTCCAAGAGATATACTGTCCCAGGTACTCTAGCAAGTAGCACATGTACTATTTAACTGAGTTTGTTTGTTTGTTATTTAATTTTTTGTTCTATATCCCAATCAAAGTTTCCCTTCCTTCCCTTCTTTTCAGTTTCTCTCCCCTCCCCCCACCCCATTCACCCCTCCTCCACTGTTTCTCTTCAGATACAAGCTGCATCCTATGGACATCAGCCAGCCATGGTATATCAAGTTGCAGTGAGACTAGGCACCTCCTCTTCTGTTAAGGCTGGATGAGGCAATCTGGCAGGAGGAAAGGGTCCCCAAAACAGGCAACAGAGTCAGAGACAGCCCCTGCTTTCACTGTTAGGAGTCTCACACAAAGACCAAGTTATACAACTGTCACATATATGCAGAGGGCCTACCTAGGTCAGTGCCCTGCAGGCACCCTGGTTGTCTGTTCAGTCTCTGTGAGCCCCTATGAGCCCAGGTTAGTTGGCTCTGTGGGTTTTCTTGTGGTGTCCTTGACCCCTCTGACTCCTACAATCCTTCCTCCCCATCTTCCATGGGATTCCCGAGATCTACCTAAGGGTTGGCTGTGGGTCTCTGCATCTTTAACTAAGCCTTCTTAAAGTGGCCATTATTCCTCCTCTCTGTTGATAAAGAAGCTGGACAAACTTAAATAACTTGTCTCAGATCACACAATTAGTATGTGACCAACCAAGATTCTACTGTAGGATTCAAACCCAGGCCAGTCTTTCAGAGAGCCACATTCTTTTCTCTGTAGTCTATCATCTCCTGAGTCACACAGTCATAAGTCACAGGAGCATCCCAGCTTTTGTGGGTTTAGGTTCTACTGTTGGATATGATAAAGGTAAGCTAGAGAAACTTCTAAATCGCCCATAAATTAGTTATGTAAGGTTTCGTGTCATGTTTATATAAATATACAATGTATATATACATGTAAAAGGTAGCTTTATGCTATTTTTAACTAAATATGAGAAACAGAACTTGTAGAGTCAAACTCATAAATTAGATGACTATATGAGAATTCCTTACATTTACATACATTGAAATGTGGGCCAGATTAACAGAATAACATGATAGAACTGTACAACTTAAGAGCCAGATGGAAGCTTCTGTCACCTACTGATTTGTTCTACTTTTGAATGACTTGAGGCCCAAAGAGGCAGTGGCCATCTCTACTTTTGTTTCTACCATGGTCTCTAGTGGAGTGTCTGTTATAACAAGGGAGAAAATGGAAAGAAGCTAATTACCCTTAGTTTCGCCCATTGTGGCCCAACCAACCCCATTTAGGAAATGCAGTGAATTGCAAGATAGTGAAGGTCTGGGCTTCTTGTTTTGCCAGAAGAGAGCTGTTAACTGTGGCTTCGGTTCTACCTTGGAGCTGTCTTCTTGAGAGGCATAAATCCCAGGCAGTAGTAGTTCTACTCTGGACAAGTTCTGGGAATCGTTCAAAGTGGTAGAAATCGAAAAAGAGTCCAAGGGTGTTGCTAAAGCAGTAGAAACCTGTAGCCAAAGAGCGCATTGCGCATCTTGGATACAGAGGATACGAAGTGGCCAGCTGTTGACTTGGGATGAGAAAGTACTAACTCAAATCAGGCAAGACTGGGGAGTGCCTATGGCTTTTGGTGGACTAGGCAGAGACAGTCAGGATCTACTTGGAAAGATGAAGGGCAATGAAGGCTACTTTTCTCACTGCGTGACAAAAGTACCCAAACAAAGGAAACTCAAGAAAGGAAAAGTTAATGTAGGCTCACAGTTTGAGGGGACATTTCTGCTGTGTGTGGACAAGGCAGCAGCGGCTCTGTGGTGACAGGAGTGTGTGGCTGGGACGCCTCTCCTCCTCACAGCTTGGTGGGACAGGATGTAGAGAAGGGACAGGAAATGGGGCCAGGACATAAAACCTCAAGATCCCCCGCACCCACCCAGTGGACCACTTCCTCCAGCAAAGGTTCACCTAAAGGTTCCACAACCTTCCAAAACAGAACAAACACCAGAGAGCAAGTGCTCAAACACATCAGCTTACGTTAAACCACAGCAAGCGTAAACAAAACTGACCTTCAGTCTGTGAGCCTACACCCAGACCTCCTTGGGTGCCTCTTCACATCTCATATCCCTCTTAACCTGTCTTCATTCCCGTAGCTGCATACCACGATTGTGAGCAACCCCTTCCAAGATGGCAGGTGACAATGAGATTGAGGTTCTCCCAAGAGAAGCTGTGGAAGGAAGAATTATCTGCCAGATTGCGAAGACATTTCTAGACCACACACATGCCTTTGTGATGTGTTTCAGATAACAACCCAGCTCGTGCTGCCTACTTTTGTGTGGTGGAGGGGGACCAAGTGGGAAATTGGAGGAAGTGTTTCACAGTCTAGCCTGAATAATCTTTCACGCCTAAATTTAAAGATGTAAGCTGTCCCTGTGAAATACAAATCCCTATCTTCTCTCATTTCTCAAATCTTTGTCTTCATACATAAAAACATTTCATTCTACAGAAATTTTGAACCCCAAAATATGGATCGGGTCACTTAAAGTTTTACCTTCACTCTTTGTGTTTTGATTCCAGGCAATTCATACAATACCAGTTATTCCTCCTTGGCAGAATCCCTAGCTGGGCAACTGCAAGCATGTGTCCAGGTCCTTTGGAGAGACAAAGCTGTTTTGAAAGTATGTGGTGGTTAGTCAAGACACCAGGACACCAAGACACCCATTCAATGAGGGGATCTTCAAGGTCAGTCTTGCTCAATTTATACAGCTGGGACGATGGCTGACATCTCACGGCATGAAAGGCCTGTGGTGGTATTGCAGGAAGAACAGTTCTCGGAACTCCTGTTTCTGGAACTCTCTGCAGAACCTGTTAGTATGCCAGGCCCAGGTTCAGAAGCTGGGGAGTGTTTGGACTGAAGCTTACTTCCCTCTGTGAGGTCCCTCTGTGAGTGAGGGCCCATTTGGATGGCAGATAATCTGTAGCTTATTGCCTGAAGATTCCTGCAAAATCCCGTGTATGCAGAACGACACTCTTTCTGGGCATTGAAGGACTGGGAGAGGAGGCAAATTGGTGTCATCAGTACAGAGATTCTTGCTTCTCTTGCACTGTCTGGGAACCTTCTATGCAGACCTGCTTCCCAGCCAAGGGACACTTAGATTTTATCTTGACTGGAAGTCCGGGGGCAGCTTGGCCATGAAGGTTGGTACAACTTCAGAAGACTCCCTCAACAGATTGCCATTCCTTGCCCATCAAAAGCCTCCTCAGAGAACACAGGGCATTCTCAGCTACCCAAGATTTAAATAATCAACATCAACCCGGTCTGCAGAAAGATTGTGCTGGGAGGCAACATGGTCTGTTTACAAACTTTACATCTGATTCCCACAGCAGTGGTATCAGATTACCCTGTGTGCTTCCGCTGTCTCCTTTAGAAAAGGAAAATGAATTGGCCTTTCTCTTGGGTTTATTATAATAATGGGTGGAAACCCTGCCCACCGAATTCTTAAGTCTGGAATGTCAGGAAACAGAGCTGTTGAGTGGCATGCAGAGTGTCTTTATGCTATTAGAAAGAGCTGTCCACCTGTGAGTAGACAAGGTTAGAATATGCCTCTTTTTCTGGGGTGGGTCAGGTTGGTTCCTGATGTCTTTTGGAAGCAGAGTACCCTGCTCAGCAAGCACCCTTTGGGCTAGGCATTATTGAGAAAGCTGAGCCTGAGGTCCAGTCGACACACGTTAGCCCCAGCAATGAGCCTGGGAAAGAGACTGACGATAAGACCCCCACCCCGAATCCTGCACCTCTTCCACACACTCACCGGGATCCTACCTATCCACAGGCCCAGACAGAATAGCACCCTCCAACCAGAGGGTGGGAGTGACTCACTGCCGTGATGCAATGCTCAGCAAATGCTCCTCTTGATAAACAGTGAGAACAAAAGCAGAAAGTCAAGTGGAGTTTTCTTTTCTGAGCTCCTTACCAGCTGATCCCACTTCCTGTTCTTCTAAGGGCTTCCCTGACAGGCAGCTCGGCTTCATATTTGGTCATTGCCCTCTCACCTTCCTGGGTGAGTCAGTGCAGCTGACCTTGTACCCTTCAAGCTCCAGGGCTCCAGTGTGTACTCTGCCCGTTTCCTGATCTTTCCAGGTAACACCCCTCCCCTCCACCACACACACACTGAATAGAGAAAGAGTCCTGCCCACAGCCCACAGCCTACAGCCCTCTGCCTCTGAGACAGACGTGCATGCACTGGGGACATGAGTCACGGCATTCTCCCATCCTCTCCATCCGATGCTATTATTGGAATGGCTGTGCACGCAGTGCACGCCTGCTTCCCGTATTTCACAGGCCAAGGGCTCCAGGAGCTGCTAACCACACACTGCTCAGCCCGAGACGCTACTTGGAGGATCACGAGGTGGTTGCTCGGAAGGGTGAATGCTTCCAAGAAAGCAGGTTTGTTGAGTCCAGCTATCTCCACCTCCTTCAGTGAGCAGCAACCATGTGTCTGGAACATGCGCCTAGCAGTGTGCCCGCCTGCCGTTGTGGGTGGTACAAAAGAAATTGTTCTGGATTGAGTTTAGAGGAGGAGGCAGAAACATGAAAAGCAAGAAAGGGCATTGCAAACACATGTGCTAAGCAAGCTCTCCAGGCAGAGGGAGCTGGGGAGGTCCACGTGGGAGGAGAAAAGGGAGAGAGAGCTGGAAGACAGGTAGCTGTGGGGGAGGTGATGGACAAGAGGCCATCATCTCAGGGAAGATGCAGAGGGGGTATGAGTTGGATTTGTTCCCACAAACCTAAGCATTGAGCTAAGTCTGAATTTTGAAGTTGGATTTGTTTCCACAAATCTAAGCATTGAGCTAAATCTGAATTTTGAAGTTGCCTCCTCTGTACGCTAGGCGATTAGCAGTTTAGTAGGGTTTTGTTTGTTTGTTTAGGAATGTTTCTCATTGCCAGGCAAGGTTATTTGCTCCTTCTCTTCTTCATGGAGAAAGGAACTGAGGCCAGAGGTAATGGCCTGAGCCCTCAGCCCTTCCCCTAGAGCTGAGGGGTGACATATACATCCACCAGGTCTGCCTTCTTCCACGCTTTCTGGCCACAGGCAAGGAGAGATTGTTTTTCTTTAGGTGGAGATGTGAAGGGGTGTGGACAGCCTGGTTTCTTCATGCTTTTCTGTGAAAACCCAAAGCTGATCTCACCTTGTAGATGTTGATCTTGGTTTATGTCCAGCTAGCTGGACTCTCAGGAAAGTTCCGGCGCCCACTGCAGGTTGGATAAGGCTGTGGTCTTCCTAAGTTCAGGAAGCCTACTTCCATGCTTATCTGGTGCAGGGCTGAGTTTCTGACAGAGGCAGCGATTAACATCCATGTTTTCCCTACTGGACAGGAGCAAGCAAACATGAGCAGAAATATACCTACAAAGACCTTTGCCTAGAGCTTCTTCAGATCCTAGGAAAGAAGACTGGAAATGGAAAAGCAATTCCAAGGCCTGTGTGGGGGTCAGTCCCAGAGCGGGTTCTCAGAAGCCTGTATCAACAGAACCTTAGCACAATCTGTATGGAAAAGAATGTGTTGGCGGGGCGAGGGAGGCGGGGCAAGACATCTCTCCTCAAGTCTCAAGCACATGTGGCATCTCAGAACACATGGAAGCCACTTGGTCTCTCCCTTCCCTCTGACAGTGGGAGGAAGTGGCAAGACCTCGGTAGTCCACTGTGGTGAGTCACCAAAGCTCTTACGTACTCTTCCAATCTCCTTCAGTTTGTTACAACTGACCCAACTTGAGGCTCCCGTCACCCGGAAGAGTGGGGCTGATGCAGGGCACTTCTATGAATTAAGGCTAGCTGACTTGACTCTCTTCCTAGATGCAAATCTTAGAGTGGCTGGTCCCAGCAGTGGAACAGAGGACTGTTGGGAAATAGGGAAACAGTAGTATGCAAATCCCTTCAGCAGGATGGAAAGAATTACCATGTGACACACCCTTTGGGCTATTTGTCCCAAAGGCCTGAAAACAGGGAATCACACACATATTTGAGCCCATGCTAACAGCATCAATATTAACAGTAACCTCCCAAGTGTTTGTGGGCGGAGAAGTGAAGTTGGAAATGTACCACATGTTTCGTTTGTTACAACTGACCCAACTTGTGGCTCCCGTCACCCGGAAGAGTGGGGCTGATGCAGGGCACTTCTATGAATTAAGGCTAGCTGACTTGACTCTCTTCCTAGATGCAAATCTTAGAGTGGCTGGTCCCAGCAGTGGAACAGAGGGTCAGTGGTACATAATAATTGAGTTCATAAAAGGTAGAGAGCCTGACAGGTGGTACAACATGGGTGAGCCCCAAGGATGCTGCTCTGTTCCACTTATATAACATGTCACAAATAGTCAGAGTTTAGAGACAGAGTGTTAGAATAATGCTTGCCAGACACTGGAGGAGGGAGACTAGGTCACTGTTTCATGGGAACAGAATTTCAGTTTTGCAAGATGAAAAAGTTTGTGTCATATGTGTTTCATCACATTTTTTTAAATTTGAAAATGAAAAATTTTGTCTGATATGTGACTATAGCTATGGGAACTGATGTGAAAATCTTAAGATCTCCATTCGAATGATAGGCCCGTGTGGCTGGGGAGATTGGCGGTGACGCAGAGATTGGAAGCCCCTCTTTGTCCTTGCTTCCGTGGACAGAGCGTGCTTGCTCAGTTGTGATAAACTGAGGGAGACGTGAAGACTCCCACAAGAGCTTCTGTGACTCACCACAGTGGGTTACCAGGTCCCCACCACCTCTTCCCATAGCTGTCCAGGAACACACAGCTCAGTGTCTCTTCTGGTCTCCACCACCCAGTGACCCTGGCTATAGAAGGACAGGTGTCTGCATTTACGATCATCACATGGCATGCCCTCGAGTCTCTGAGTTTCGATTCCCCAGATCCAGGGACTGTCTTTCTTAGATGAAACTGAAACATAGATAGAAATGCTTTTGAAATCTAATTTAAAACCTCCTGCTTTCACAAGCCCCTGAGAAACAACCTCTGTCAGTCATTCCATTGATTGTTTTTAAACAAAATGATCATTGTATTGTATCCAGAGGAAGAGATTTACTGGGGTGAACACCAAAAAGAATGGGAACATCCTAGAGAGATAGAGACAGAAAGAGACAGACAGAGAACAGAAGTGAGAGCCAGTGTTTGTTTTTTAAGGTGTTTGTTTAGCATTTTGTGGTTGGAAACGCTGGACCGGAGCTGTATAATCGAGCAGGGAAGGGATACCTCAAACCACCAGAAACACAAACCTCAAAACCGCCACGCAGCAAATATCATAACTGGTGCGCGTGTTGCCATGGCCATCGCATGAAGGGTGGCCTACCATGGAATGGAACCTCCCTATGTATGCTTGCTTTGTGTTCTTTTCTGTATCTCCAAGCTGTGGGCCCAACTTTGCCCACACTCTCTCCTGCTTCAGATTTTTCTCAGTGGCATTTTCTGAAAAATCTCTTCCACCAATCCATCCATAACCCAAAACTGTAGAATACTGTTGCCATGTTAGTTCAAAGTTCATATCAGGTTAGAAGTTTTTGACCTAATGCATTGAGTGTAAAAAAAAGTTGTAAAGGACATGATTTAGAATACTGAAACCAAGAAGGATCTGGAATGTTTCAACGAAATGTGAGATGACAAAACTTTTGGTTTCATCTTGTTTAGAAAATGACCATCCATGGCCTATTGTTTGATTTGTTTTTTCCAAGAATTGTGGCATTCCTAAGGCTCATCTGTGGGAAAACAAAACCAAAACCAAATCAGATCTACTCTACTTCAAACGCTGAATATTCATTGCTGTCCCCAGGCCCTCAACAGAAGTGTGAAGGAAACCTGTAAAAGAATTCCATGTAAGTTGGATCAGCAATACTGTAACTGAATTTCGGAATAAATCAAGATGGGCTTTTCACCATAAAATCACCAGTAAATTGTGCCGTGTCGGAGCAGAACCTGTGTCTATTCTTGCAGTATGGGACCTTAAGTGACGAGATCTCACTAGTTTCCAAACTCGTGTTCCAGTTAGTTTAAGCTTCTTAGTCTCCCTCTGATTCGCATCCAGCATGAAACAATCCTATTCGTCAACAACAGGAGCTTCAATGTGCCTGAATCTTCCAAAAGTCAAGGGCAGTGGCCAGCCAGATGCTCAAGAGGGGAACCGCCCTGCGGGATGACCACCAGTGCTGTGGCTTTCTTGCTGACGGTGGGCATCTGACCCTGGAGATGGATAGCTGCTTCTGTGTACACATTATTGAAGGGTTAGACATGCTAAAAGGGGTAATCCCTGGAATTGGAAGAGGATTTTGATCATAGCAAAACATAAATCAAATGGGTTTAAAAGGCATTTTAGTTCTGAGGTGCCCCCCTCTCTGTGTCCACTCTTCTGCTCTCTCTCAAATCTGAAATGGGTGGGAAAAGCAGGTGGAGCCATTTTCTCCAAATTTTTATCCTTGCTGGGAGCAGGACACTAGGAAACCGGAGCTGTGCTTTCTAGAGCCCGTTCTGCCTGGAGGTAGCCTGGCGAGTTTGTGGGCACCTAGACAATAGTGCTTAGCTTTACTTGCACTAAGTAGATGTGGTAAAAAGGACGATGGCAGGGTGTCCTTTTATGCATTTCCTTGGTTCCCGTACAGCCTGGTAAATTCTCCATGTTTTTATTTCTGACCTTTCCAGCTAAGTGGATCTGCAGAGCTTCCCTGCAATGATGATCTTCAAGCCTCATTCCTCCAGCTGGCCAAAATACTAGCTAGTAGCTACAAAGGAAAAAAAAAAATCCAGTGGGATGGGGGTGGGGGTGGGGAAGTGGGAGTCTGGGCTGGGGGGGGGGGTATAGGATAGTAGGAAGCAAGTTAGCAAGTGAGTCAGGAAGTACTGGGTACCTTTAGAAAGGTGAATGGATGCCAAGAGGCATGGGAGACTTGTGGATCCCTTTGGGTAAGTTCTTATGTAGCCCATGTGCATTCCAGTACTGGGAAAGATCTTCTAAGGTAGGAAAAAAAATAGATGTGGGACCTTTCCCTTCTGCTGGTTTTCCTGGCCTCTGTTGGCCTCAACCCTGGCCATGAGGAGACCACGTGATCCCAGAAGACTGGGCTGTACCAAGCATAACAGACCCTGTAGCTTGGCCTTTGAACTTAGAGAGGAAGGACTGAGGTTCTGTTTGGAAGACAGCCATGGCTTAGTGAGCTTCAGCAGCTCTCCAGAATGGCTGCCTCTGTAAAGAGCTGATAGATGGGTTTGTCTCTGCTTAGTGAGGGTTCACGTCTCCCCTTCCAAGTCCCAGCACAGGTCACTATCCAGGGCCTGGGGTAGAAGCCTTCAAGCAGCTGCCCCAGCACACGCATGAGGGCCTTGCCTTCTGGGGCTGCTTCGTGGGTGAGCGCCCTGCCAGCAGGCAGCCCAGGGTGTGTGAGGAAGCAGGAATGAGTAGCTCTACAGTCTGACTTGTACCTTGCGGGGAGAGAGTGTCTTGCTCAAAACAATATGAACAGCAGCCTGAAATGAAAAGGAACAAATGGCCTCCAGTCGGAGCCCGGGCTCCTTCCAGGCCCCCACCCACCACAGCAAGATTCGGTGCCTCTCAGTGTTCGCCTGCACACTGCCTCTGGTACTTCCTTCAAAACCCTGGCTGAGGAGGAAGTTCTGCCCGACTCTCGTCATGTAGGCAAACAGCTTAGTCTCCCTTTTGAAACTGAGGGAAGCCAGGCTGAAATGCTGTCAAATCTGACAAGCTGGAGAAAGGGAGAGGCTGTCCTTGGCTGTTGCTCAGGCCCCCGAGGGATATCTTCACATCTGGCACAAGACTTGCCCAGAAGGGAGGCTCTGGGCGACCCACAGGCTTCCCACGGCTACTTCTTCATTATCAGTTTCTCCCTGCTTCTGCCTAAGCTATCGGAGTCTGCAGGCAGCCCAGGCAGCTGGGCTGTGCTCACAGCAGCTACGCTGTGATTAAAAGGGCAACTGGGCCCCTCCACCTTTCCTTCTGGTGCCTGTGTGGGCATCAGCCTGAGCAAGAGCCGCCTGGCAGGTGACTGCAGATCCCAGATAATCCTTCCGCCCTGGCCTACTTTCCCAAGTGCCCCCTTCTGCTTTTTACACTCACATTTATTTTCTAACAACTAGAAGGAAATTAATGTGTGCTAAATGCACAGGCTAGAAGACTTGTAAGTCCAATGTCAAATCCATGTTCTTATTGTTTTACTTTCTCCTATTATCTGTGATGGGTGGAGTCTGACCTTTGTATCATAAAAAATAATGATGGTGTGCCCCAGAATTTCTTAAGAGGTACTTGCAAAGCAAGCTGTAGAGTTCAGCTTCAAAACTCCAACAGACAGAATATATTCGTAGGCAGTTAAAATGTGAGGAACAGCCTTGAGAATAGCAAATGTATATGAAACTACCTGCACTTCTCCAACCCCTGTGGTAGAACCCTGGAGATACAAAGATGATAAGGCACACTCTGCCACCTCTAAGTTTTAGTTTCTCTCAAACTTTCACTTCATGGTAAAACGTAAGACGAATTAGCATTTCGTACCCTAACAATGGAAGAGTGATAATGTCCGAGGAGCTGTGTGCGTATACATGTCCAGGAGTGTAAACCTGTAGCTACTTAGAAATGAGTCCTGAGGTCTTACAATGCTCAGCGTTAAGTATGTTTAATATAAATCTCACCCGGAGCCCTACTGTGATGTGTGGAACAAGGCTAAGCACCGTTGAATGTTTGAGATGTGCAGTCAATGGGGAGAGGACGCAAAGGGAGCAAGGTCTTGGCGTCAGCGTTCTGGAAAGGTGGAAGGGATTTGGCTGTGGAGTTCATGGAAGACCTCAGTAAGCAATGATGCGACAGATATGAAAATGTACATGAATGACTGGCTGGATAATGTGTAAAAGCAATACGTCTGTCTTGTGTATGAAGACATTTTAAAAAATACTAAATTGTAATGATATTTCATGGACATTGGCAGTGACACATGAACATGATTAGGCATGAATCTAAAACATAGTGCAAGGAACCCCATTACCCAAGATTGGGATGTATAGAAGACTCATTGGCCACATTGATGGAGAGGGCCTATGTGGTATGGCATCAAGGGCAGGCACATGTGGATCTTCTCATTCAGCCACTGACTGATGCAACTGAATGAGAGACCCAAATAACACCGTGAGCTGTAGAAGAGGCAAGCTGTACCCTGCCTGGATGCACAGTTAGTATTTATGGTAAGTAGGAGTTATTACTTTGAGCCAGTGAGTTTTGGCATATGTAGTTGATTTCACAGGAATAGATAATAAGTCATATCTTACAGTTCAGGAACTAGCCCCGGAAACAAAAATCACTTATCAGAATTCTTTAGACACATTGCCACCTTAGACAGGAAAACAAAATTCTGATGAACAAGAGCACATAGTCAGCGAAACCCTAAGGTCAGAGGATGGTGGGACAGCCGATTGATGGAGTGTTATTGTTGAAGACGAATCACTGATGGGCCCGACACACTTAGAGACCCGGGAGCCTTACAGAAGCCAGAAATCTAAGCACTGTAGTTACTTCACTTCCCCCTTCGACAGCTTTCTTCTTTTAAGCCCTTGAAGATGTTTCTCTAGTTCCGTGTGCCAGCTGGTCTGATGTGCTCATCACTCTTATCACTGGGGCTGGAAGCCTAGAAAGTGCGCTTCCCCAACATTCTCACCAGCAGAGGTCTCGCCAAAGGCTGACAGCCAGATGTGCTTGCCTGTGAACTAGGAGGGTTCAGAGCAGGAGATGCTGGAGCTCTGCTCATCTGCTGAAGAGGACAGAAGTGTGGGTTTCAGCAGTTATCAGATTCTGCGCTGACTCCCAGGCATCTCTCTCTCTCTGTGAATCATCCACCCCGGTTCAAGAAGCAGATGTGATCATTAACAGCAGCTTCCTGAAGTCTTCTGCATCTGCGTGTACCTGAGAGCAAACAGCAAATGTGAATGCTTGTGGCTTCCCCCACCTTCCCTGACTTCTCCTGGCTCTTCTACAAGTTTTGGATGCACCCAGTTCCTTGCATTCAATTTCTTCTCTACCTGAATCAGGAGGCGTGGCTTCTGGGTTTCACTCCTCATGTACATAAAGTCTGAATGAAATGGTGGCAAATAGTGAAGTAGCATTTTGTTACATATATGCACAGGTATCAGTCATTTTTACAAATAGCTGGGAATCTCCTCAAAATTTGGAACAAAAATACATGTAATACAGCATAGCAGCCCATGAGTGGTGGAGTCATAGAGTGGGGAAAAAAAAACAGTACAGAGGAAAGTAAAAAGTTCAGTACAATTGAGATACTGGGGTCAAGGGAATTTAGAACCAACCCAAGAAAAGCGTTACAGGTAGGCTCACTAGACTCAGGAAATAAGCAACAGTGCCTAGTTAAATGTGAGCTGTAGATAAATAATACTGGAAGTAGAGGAATATTCCAGAAAAGATGTTCATGTCCTACTCCCTGAAGCCTACAAATCAGTATATTACCTTACTTGGCAAATGGGACTGTTATATGATTTCAGGCCTGGATCTTGAGACAGGGAGAGTATTCTGAGGTATACAGGAAGCCCTCTGTGTTCAACTGGCTCCTTAAGAGTGGAGAACTTAGCCGGGTGTTGGTGGCGCACGCCTTTAATCCCAGCACTCGGGAGGCAGAGCCAGGCGGATCGCTGTGAGTTCGAGGCCAGCCTGGGCTACCAAGTGAGCTCCA